CTAACATGTTATTATTACCTTTTTATGCTAATTTTTCTCTTAGGTGATGTTCCTTGGTGAAATTTGAGGAGTTTAGATGTGATAGAACCCTCACAGTTTGTCAAGATTCAAGAAATGCTCTTCAGGCAGCTAGCAAAGTGTGTTGCAAGTCCACACTTCCAGGTATGTATGTCTTGATCACTACGGCGGATTCACAATGCACAGTGCCATCTAGTGACACCAGTGTTTAGTCAATTTCATGTGATGTTTTATAGAAAGTCGACGTAAATATTAGCTGCAGCATTGCTATCACCCTAGGAGATGAGGGGATTTAATCTGATTGTTTTGTGAAGAAGTTTGAATGGCTTTCTTCTTTAAGAGTGTTATTACCCTACTCATGACCTTTGGTTTAATTTTGGCAACTTCTTGGCCAAACTGACTATTTATATCACCTTTGGTCAGATGTAATTTTTGTCAATCATTATTATCAGGAAAGGAGATTTGTTTGGCCTTATTTTCTATTTACAAAAATGTGCCTGATGCTAGAAAAGTGGTCAAATTGACCCCCATCAACATATTCTAGTTCGTAGAAAATTCCTGTGGAAACATCTAACTAAAGCAAATGATTCTGCAATTCTAAAATTGTTAACTAGTCTTTATAGAAATTATTGAGATTCCCTGTCATCCACTACTATTCTAATGATATAGATGCCTCTGTTTTTCGTCCCTTTACTCAATTTTCCTGGAATGAAACGTTGTCTATATTTTGAAATTAATGTCAGACTTTTTTAATATAAATTTTCTGAACTTGTCCATTTTTTTCCAGGTTGCAGAACGTGCCCTGTACTTCTGGAATAACGAGTACGTAGTGAGCTTGATAGAGGAGAACATCCAGGCTATCATGCCCATTATGTTCACCAATCTCTACAGGATATCCAAGACCACTGGAATCAGTTAGTCCACTAACACTTACCTCTCCTACCCTAATCAGTATTTAATCCCCAATTAATCCTGCATTCCCTCCAAGAATATGCGTGAGAGGACACTCTACAAAGCACTTGCTGGATTAGTTGATGGTAAGAGACGAAGCATAGTGAAAAGTTCATTCGCGTACCTAACTACACTGAGTACTTAAAGGTAGATAATACAATGTCACTAATATCACTTCTTATCTAATCACCACTATTACTTCTTGACCTAATGATCAATAGTAACACAATCCATTTCGGGTATTTAAATGTTCTCTTAGATTGTTATGTGATTTTTGAATTAGTCACTGTGACTGAATAGCAAGCATTTTGAGGTATAAGGACAGAACAGGAAAGAACTCTTGCACTAGCAGGATGCACATTAATCCTAATGCATCATCAGGGATCATTATCATTTGTATAGACAATCCAATGCATGGTCATAAGCCATTCAACAGCTCTATTACATAATTCTAATTACAGGAAAAAAAGCTCAGTGTTATTTTAGATATGTCTAGAAATTACCATGAAGCAGGTAATACAAAGCTGTATATTTTGATGTTAGAATAACTTGAATAACTTAAATAATGTGGAGAAAATTCATGGATAGTTAATAAGTGTGTTCTAAAAGCCATGCAATTTGAATATCTAGCTTTAAATAATACCTTTTTTTACATTTTATGGGATGGGATCATTCGTAATCCATCCCCATTTATTTTTCTTGTAAACCTGTAATCTGAGCATTGACATTGCTTCCAACTACCATTCTATATGTATATTACACAGTTCATTGTGTATGTGATATCTTCATACATGACCTTCCTTGAACCTAAGGTATTTGTTAATGGAAGCATGATGAACTATCAATGTCTTCAAATATCATGGTGTCAGTTGAAAGAGGTTTTTCTTGCTGTTAGTAGATTGCAACATTTGTTAAGAATTTATTTCTTCAGTAATATACATCGAGGCTTTCTAGTTGCATATCAGTTCCATTGTAGGAGTGCCCACCCCCCTTCTCTCTCTCTCTCTCTGAACTATACAGATTTAAATAATATTGTACTTAATTCAATGACCTGTAATTTGCATTTGCTGTGGACAACCAGCAATTATGATGGGAAAAGCAATTGTGGTTTGAACATTCTCCATGTAAATGCATGTAAATCTACAAAGATAACACATGACTGACATGGAAGGTTTTCTGGCTCTATACTGTATGTACAGTATGTGGGAAATAATTCTTCAGCCACACATGCGCATGGTTCGCTGTAAGATCATGGAAGCACTGTCTAGTGGGTGATAAAATAGAATAAAAGGAAGGTTATTTCACCGTGTAAGCTGTTGATATGGTACAGGTGCAATCATTTGTAGAGTTTTGAAAAGTCTTTTATGGATAATTGTAGCTTCTGAAGTTGTGAACTTGTGAAGTTGGGTACTTGAATTCCCTTTCCCCTTTTTCTACTGGCAAAGGAGGAGACTTTGTCCATAAAAATGGATTTAAGATTAAATTTATCTGTTCATCAGTTCATAGGGTGTCCTAGTAAAGGAAGTTGATTGCACATTTTGAGTATTTTGTGTTGATGTCTACATTTCCAACTCTAATCTCTTTCTCTGCTCAGAACTATTGTTGCCTTGGTCTACAATGTACTCAGGACACTGATGGAGATGAATAGCAAGCTATTTGATGAACTCACTACCAGCTATAAGGCAGATAGACAAAAGTAAGTTAATTATCAAATTCAAGTTTGTGGATGACTGTGGTTCTACAACTCGTGCTCTGGCGAAAATCATCCAGTGGTCAATTTTGTACCCTGACCAATCCCTAAATTCCACCCTGGACCACATATCATACTAACCTGACCCCAGATTACAACCTTCAGCCAAACTCTCCATCTTTGATAAAATAAGCTTTGAGTAAATGCTGCAGGAGAAAACGACTGATCGTCATAATTATATATGACATAATCTAGGACTGTTCTGTTAAATTCCCTGCCAAGTACACGTTAAGGAAACATGATAGAGAGAGCTCTAGATATCTCCACATGTTATTGCTTCATGTTTTTCCATTTTTATGCACTTCTAGTGTAGAATATAACCCCATTTTTATGCCTCCGCCACCGAAGGTGGTGCCGGAGGCATCATGTTTTCGGGTTGTCCGTCCGTACGTCCGTCCGTCCCGTACGTCCGTCCGAGTTTGCGATGGTATGCTTGTGTGTTTAGTTTTACGTATGAGATATCCTTGTGTGTCACTTTAGACTTGTGTGTCTAGCCACACAAGAAAACTATCATATTCAGTGTCTAAGATGTCTGACATGTCATTTCTAATCAACTAAGATTTAGTCACACAAGAAAAAAATTTCCCCAAAAAAGGCCCAAAATAAATGTCCAAATTTTAGAGAGGGGTTGTGTCCAAGTAGCCAAACGGAATAGTGCCATCTACAGTTGACATCCAGGTAGCTAGGTACTATGCGCATCTACAGTACTTGTGTGTGTGTGTGTGTGTGTGACTTGTTAGTGTGTAGTATTTGTAAGCAAAGTAGTAGGCAGTGTATGGCTCTGTGTATGTGTGTGTCATGGGTGGATGGTTTTTGTGTGTGCAGTGTATATAATACATGTAATGTTTTTTTTATGCCACACAAGCCTTAATTTTCTTGAATCGGACAGGGGTAGACAATAATGTCGTTCTGCCACACTAGCCTTAATTTTCATGACTTGGACAGAGGTATATAATACATGTAATGTCTTTCTGCCACACAAGCCCTAATTTTCTTGACTTGGACAGGGGAAGATAATAATGTCTTTCTGACACACAATCCTTAATTTTCTTGACTTGGACTGGGGTAGATAATAATGTCTTTCTGCCACACAAGCCTCTATTTTCTTGACTTGGACAGGGGTAGACAATAATGTCTTTCTGCCACACAAGCCTTAATTTTCATGACTTGGACTGGGGTAGATAATAATGTGTTTTAGCCACACAAGCCCTAATTTTCTTGACTTGGACAGGGGTAGACAATAATGTGTTTTCTGCCACACAAGCCTTTATTTTCTTGACTTGGACAGGGGTAGACATAATGTTCGTTCTGCCACACAAGCCTTAATTTTCATGACTTGGACAGAGGTATAATACATGTAATGTCTTTCTGCCACACATGCCTTAATTTTCTTGACTTGGACAGGGGAAGATAATAATGTCTTTCTGACACACAAGCCTTAATTTTCTTGACTTGGACTGGAGTAGATAATAATGTCTTTCTGCCACACAAGCCTTAATTTTCATGACTTGGACAGAGGTATATAATACATGTAATGTCTTTCTGCCACACAAGCCCATTATTTTCTTGACTTGGACTGGGGTAGATAATAATGCCTTTCTGCCACACAAGCCCTAATTTTCTTGACTTGGACAGTGGTACAGGTATATAATACATGTAATGTTTTTATGCCACACAAGCCTTAATTTTCTTGACTTGGACTGGGGTAGACAATAATGTTTTTCTGCCACACAAGCCTTAATTTTCTTGACTTGGACTGAGGTAGATGACAATATCTTTCTGACACACAAGCCTTAATTTTCATGACTTGGACAGAGGTAGACAATAATGTCTTTCTGCCACACAAGCCTTAATTTTCTTGACTTGGACTGGGGTAGATGACAATATCTTTCTGACACACAAGCCTTAATTTTCATGACTTGGACAGAGGTATATAATACATGTAATGTTTTTTTTATGCCACACAAGCCCTAATTTTCTGGACTTGGACAGGGTAGACAATAATGTCTTTTTGCCACACAAGCCTTAATTTTCTTGACTTGGACAGGGGTAGATAATAATGTCTTTCTGTCACACAAGCCTTAATTTTATTGACTTGGACTGGGGTAGATGACAATATCTTTCTAGCAACACAAGCCTTAATTTTCTTGACTTGGACTGGGGTAGACAATAATGTCTTTCTGCCACACAAGCCCTAATTTTCTTGACTTGGACAGTGGTACAGGTATATAAAACATGTAATGTTTTTATGCCACACAAGCCTTAATTTTCTTGACTTGGACTGGGGTAGACAATAATGTCTTTCTGCCACACAAGCCTTAATTTTCTTGACTTGGACTGGGGTAGATAATAATGTCTTTCTGCCACACAAGCCTTAAATTTCATGACTTGGACAGGGGTAGACAATAATGTCTTTCTGCCACACAAGCCTTAATTTTCTTGACTTGGACTGGGGTAGATGACAATATCTTTCTGACACACAAGCCTTAATTTTCATGACTTGGACAGAGGTAGACAATAATGTCTTTCTGCCACACAAGCCTTAATTTTCTTGACTTGGACTGGGTGAATGACAATATCTTTCTGACACACAAGCCTTAATTTTCATGACTTGGACAGAGGTATATAATACATGTAATGTTTTTTTTATGCCACACAAGCGCTAATTTTGTTGACTTGGACTGGGGTAGATGACAATATCTTTCTGCCACACGAGCCCTAATTTTCTTGACTTGGACAGGGGTAGACAATAATGTCTTTCTGCCACACAAGCCCTAATTTTGTTGACTTGGACAGGGGAAGATAATAATGTCTTTCTGCCACACAAGCCTTAATTTTCTTGACTTGGACGGGGGTAGATAATAATGCCTTTCTGCCACACAAGCCTTAATTTTCTTGACTTGGACAGGGGTAGATAATAATGTCTTTCTGCCACACAAGCCTTAATTTTCATGACTTGGACAGAGGTATATAATACATGTAATGTTTTTTTTTATGCCACATAAGCCTTAATTTTCTTGACTTGGACAGGGGTAGATAATAATGTCTTTTTGGCACACAAGCCTTAATTGTCTTGACTGGGACAATTAGGGTAGATGATGATTATGATGTATTCTTTTTGCACATAAAGTTTACTTTTTGTGACTTTGACAGGTCTAGATGATTTGGTATCATCCTGCTACACAAGCCTTAAAGGTAATACAAAGTTTTGGTATGGGGTCGTGAATTTGGTTCAAATGAACATATTGGAAGCATATGCGATCCTACAATATTCACTGATCGTTGTCGCGGTCGAAATCGACTCTAAAGTTATGAAATTATAAATAATAAACACTTTATGTTGTATAGCTCCCTCTCAAGGTCAAGATATTAATTAAGCTATAAAACAATGTTTCTTGACTAAAATCGACCGATAAGCTATTCCCGTTCGGAAATTATATACCACAACTACATATGGTCGCATCTACCATTGTACGGCCGTAGGAGCTATTTGAAATTTATTAAAATTTACCGGGAGCACTGGTAAATCTTAATATTAAATTTTTCTTGAAAGCAGAAGTGTTTTAAGGGTTAAAATTACTAGTGCTTTTAATACATCCACATCCACAGGGGCATCCAAATATATCAAAATTGTAAAGATTCACTATCCACCCATTTTTCAAAATTTCCCAAAACTTCATGACTTTGACAGGCATGGATTATTATACAAATAATGAATGGTTATGAGTTCAATAGTACAAATATTTTCATGAGTTGAATAGAATTAATGTTAATCTTTCAACAAATGAAAATATTCGCACTATTAAACGAATGAAAAACATTCATTATTTGTTTTATACTGTACAACATCAAAGAAGATCTAATAGAACGTTAATCAACAAATTATGCTTTACTCCTTATATTAAAGATAAATTAAAGTTGGAGTCAAGTGAGCCTTCTCGATTACATTCAGATTGCCTTCGTGTCAGATACACGCGCATACACGGGATACGCGCAGGGCAGAGAGGTACGCAGTCTGCATATAACCAAAAATGCACGCCAACAAGGTTTGGATTGAAAGGCCCTTGCCTCCCCCCTCCCCTCAGCAAAAAAGAGAAAGGGAAAGAAAATAAAGAGGAAGAAGAAAAACAAGGGGGAAAAGATACGTTTTTGCTCCCCTCTCACCCCCACCCCCCTCCAAAACGAGAACAAGCGCCAGATACGCCACTGGACACCACAGGCATACTCAGTGGCGGATCCAGGGGGCCGAAACGGCCGCGGCCCCCCCCCCCCCTATTGGCGGTGCAAAAAAAAGGAAAAAGAGGAAAAAAGAAGAGAGAAAAAAAGGAGAAGCATAAGAAAGGAGAAGAAAAAGAAAATAGAAGAAAAGAGACAAGAAGAAGAGAAAAGAAACACAGAGAGAGGGAAAAGAAAGCCCCCCCCCCCTTTCTCCCTCCCACTCCGGGGTCGGAAGGACAGAACTCGTGTTCCCAAAATCTCCTGTAAAGGAGTACTTTTCACCCAACAAAGTCCGACCCGTAATACACAAAAATCCGGCCCGTACTGACTTTACACACCGGAGATAGAGGGGTGCTTTCAAACAGAGGGAAATACGTACGCGTACCCTAGATAACACTGAGTGGGGGGGGGGGGGGGGGGGGGGGAGAGTCGGGTGAGAAAGATGGAAAGACAAGGAAATGGCGCTTAGTGACAGTAACTTTCGAGCCACGGAATCAAAGTTAAACGTTAAAACTGCCCCTGCGCTGTAAAGTCAATTTTGTAATTAACGGTAGGGGGGCCGCTTCACAACTCTTATTTTGCTCTTCATTTGGCCTCAGCTCATATAAACTCGCTTGAGCTTGTATTTGAGCTCATTTTGGTAGTAATCATGGACACGGGCGGTGATCCTGGGCCCGATAGGAGGACACGTCCGCCAGGAAATTTAGAATATAGCTAGAAAGATATAT